CTTGCCCACGCCCGTGGGGTGAGGGGTGGGGGGCCCGCCTGAGCCAGGCGCCCTCACACCTCACCCGCCAGCTAGGCTCCTCTGCAGTGTCGGTGAGCAGTGCTTGTAGTGGCTGTCAGTCTAAGTCTAAGGGGAGCCGCAGCTCACAGCAGGTGGCTTGCTCCCACAGACACCAACAAGAGGAGGAAGCTTTGTTTTCCCCAGTAACTTGCACTGGTGTCCCAGTTCATTGCCGGTGTTTACTGGGAATTACTTGTCACGTAGCACCGTAGTCCTGCATTCGTGTGTTGTACTCTCCAGTCTGAGTCCCTGGTTGTTGGCAGCCTGGCAACATGGAAAGGGAAAGGCTTTGCCTGAAGTCCGGAGCCTTGCATCTAGTCCTGGCTTTTTCACCCGAGCTGTGCAGGCGCCCAGGGTCTGTTTTCTTACCTGTAACACCAGATTTTGTAGTTCATGTTTTAGCTCTACAATAGGATAAGTTGAAGTTAATGATTATGTATTTCTCATTTTTTTCCCTCTTTTCTGTTTCCAATAGCTTGTTGAAGATGGATATAGAGCACTGGACAGAAATGATTTCTCCTTGCACTTATGCACCAATTTTATTTTTAAAATAAAATGTCAAACACCTTTGAACTTTTTATTAAAAGTACAAGTATCTTATTGGCCATGCGGTTCACTGCATCAAGAGACCTGGATTTTCAAACGATATGTTAGTGTCTTAGAGCGGCTACCTTGTTTCTTAAGGAATCTATGCTAGTTCCTTGGTACAACTGCAAAGCAGAATTGGCCTGGGCACCGTTGTGAGTCCTTTTGGTCAGTTGTTTACTAGACCTGATCAGGAAAGAAGAGGCTGTATAAAAATAACTGAGGTTAGCCCAGCCAGTGTGGTTCAGTAGTTAGTGTCAACCTATGAACCAGGAGGTCATGGTTTAATTTCTATTCAGGGCACATGCCCAGTTGTAGGCTTGATCCCCAGTGTGGGGTGTGCAGGAAGCAGCCGATCAATGATTCTCTCTCATCATTGATGTTTATATATCTCCCTCTCCGTTCTCTGAAATTAAAAATGTATTTTAAAAAATAACTGAGGTTATTATTATTACTAGAGGCCCGATGCACGAAAATTCGTGCAAGAGTAGGCCTTCCTTCCCCTGTCTGCCGGCACCAGCTTCCCTCTGGTACCCGGGACCCGGGCTGGCTGCCCGCAGGCACCCGGGAACTGGGCTGGCTTCCCCTGGGCCACCCACAGGCACCCGGGACCCAGGCTGGCTTTCCCCACCCCGGCCCCAGCTTCGTCAGGAAGGACATCTGGAAGACATCTGGTCTAATTAGCATATTACCCTTTTATTATTATAGATTGCCCTTTAGGATCTTAAATTTATCCAAATAATATTTACTGAGTATCTACTACAGCAGTTGACACAAAAGACTAAAATCCCTATCCTCATGCAGTTTACATTCCAGTGGAGGGAGTTTGATAATAAAGATAAGTAGGTAAATTATAGTTCAGAAGGTGATCAGTGTTATGGTGTGGGGAGCGGCTATAGGGTTAAGCCTCGGACTGACCTGTTGGCAAAGTCACAAACAAGTCCCAGCTTAGAGGGCACAGTCCTCTTAAGCATAATTAGGCTTGACCTTGTGAGGCTCCCTAGGGCTGAGGGAAGTGCAACAAGAACAAAAACAAGTGAAACTCACAAGAACAGTGTAAACAAGTGAAACTCACAAGAACAGTGCAACTTTGGTAACCACTACCTTGTTTACCTCTGACTATAAAAATAAAGGCTCAGCTTGCCTCAGGATCTTTCTCTGTGGCCTCAGCCAGGCACAGGGAGATCCACGGAGACTAAAGAGAGCTTGAGAGTTCTGAACGCTGTCTCTGTGTAAAACATTCTTCGCCAACTCCGTCCACACCTTTGGGAACCCCTGGACCGCTGGGGCTGGACCCTGGCATTATGGGATGAAATAGAGCAGAATAGGGTAAGGAAGACCAAGAAAGCTGAAGTCAGGGGTGAGGGCATATTACAAATTCTCTGATAAAGTGTATCTGATTTTCTAGAAGCTCAAGGAATACCTTCAAAAATAAACCTTTTGAGGAACAGGGCAATGGTACTATCAAGTTGACACTAAAGAAGAGGAGAATGAGGTCTATGTTTTACCATATTTGGGAATGATCTTAATTAGCATCTCTTACCCTGACTCTAGCTCATTTCCATGAAGAGAGGATGGATCTTCTTTCCTTTTTCTTTTAAAAAATTTTTTTTATTGATTTCAGAGAGGAAGAGAGGGGGAGAAATAGAAACATTAATGAGAGAGAATCATTGATCGGCTACCTCCTGCACACCCCCCATTGGGGATCGAGCCTGCAACCCAGGCATGTGTCCTTGATCAGAATTGAACCCGGGACCTGTCAGTCCGCAAGCTGACGCTCTATCTCCTGAGCCAAACCAGTTAGGACTCTTTTTTAAAATTTTAATATATATTTTTATTGATTTCAAAGAGGAAGGGAAAGGGAGAGAGCGATAGAAATATCAGTGATGAGAGAGAATCATTGATTAACTGCTTTCTGCACACCCCATACTGAGGACTGAGCTGCAATCTGGGCATGAGCCCTGACCGGGAATTGAACCATGACCTCCTGGTTCATAGGTCAAGAGGATGCTCAACCACTGAGCCTCAATGGCTGGGCTGGGTCTTATTTTCAACACTCACTAAGGGGTTTCCGTGGGCATATTGACATGAAAATCCCTGCTCAGGAGAGGTGTGGCACTATTGAAAACTTCTTACGCCGAAACTGGTTTGGCTCAGTGGATAGAGCGTTGGCCTGCGGACTGAAAGGTCCCAGGTTCGATTCCGGTCAAGGGCATGTACCTGGGTTGCGGGCACATCCCCAGTGGGAGATGTGCAGGAGGCAGCTAATCGATGTTTCTCTCTCATCGATGTTTCTAACTCTCTATCTCTCTCCCTTCCTCTCTGTAAAAAATCAATAAAATATATTTTAAAAAAAAGAAAGAAAACTTCTTACAATGAGGGCTCCTTGGAAATCCCAGAGCAGTAGTTTATAGGTGACAAACAGCTAAGAGATCCAAGGCCTAAGGCTCTAATTACTGGTAGGTTTGTTGCTCAGGGACCTGCCTAATCAGTCTAAATGGCAACAGATAACTTCATATCACTGTGAGAAGTGAACTGAAAATGACTCAATAAATGATCAATGACCCCCTGGAAACCAGACTCTCAGGGGCTTGAATACAGGAGGGAGTAAGGCAGAAGGCCAACTTGAAAGCACCAGGTTCCCCTTGCCTCCTCTTCTATGTGGACACATCCTGAAAATCTCTAGCAGCTCCTGGAGCCAGTAATTTCAATGCTGCTTGAAGAATTTACCTCAAGTATCTCCTTATTAGCAGGGACAACAGTTCAGGCCTGAAAAACAATGAGATGTTTGTGCTCCCAGGAGTATTATGGAATATGCATGTGAAGGAGAAACCCTCTTGAATAGAGCTTAGTGATGAATCTCCACTATATCTAAAAATCAAAGAGCGAGAGACCAAGTCCCTGGTTATTGTGGATTTGCAAGAGGTGTTTTTTAGAACATTTAGCTCATTTCCTGTAAAGATTAATTTTTTTTTGTCTTAGCAAATTTAATGACATCTCCATGTTAACAAAAAAATTCAGAAAGTTGTTTCCACAGAAAGCTTTCTCCTCCTCATTTTACTGGTGTCATTATGCCTTACTGCCAACCTTGTGTTCATTCTGTGAATGCAGTATTTGAGGACTGAAATGCTGGTTCTTAGAGTTCCATCCTGTTAGGGTGTTTTTTGGCTGGTGACTCGGGCTGTGAAAGAATTCACAACTAAAAGAAGAGATAGATGCAGAGAGAAAATTTATTTTTACTTTCCCCAAAGGGAAAAGGCCGGTGCATTCCTAATCAATACAAGGGCAGGTGATAAACAGCAGCCTGCTCTTTTAAAGGGTAATGGCTGCAGATGTCCTAGGGAAGTGTCTTAGTATTGTTCCCAAGCCTGCACAACATGCTTAGAGCAAAAGTTATGAAGAGTTCAGAGAAGGCTTGTTGGAAGAGGGGGATGGGAACTTTCCTATTAACTAGAGACTTTCTGTTGCAAATTATCCCTGAGTTGAAAACATAGCAGGAAGGAGGGGAATGCAAGAATGTAGCCTTGAAAGTAACTTATCTTGCCCTGTAGTTTGAACAGAGAGCCTGTTAGAATCAGAGGAGCTAACAATCTTGGGGTTTAATTACCAGGTGCTTCTCATAAATTGTGGAAGGCTACAGCAAACAAAAAGAAAGGCCTTTTTTTTTGTCCTTACACATCCCATCTGGATGCCAGTTTGTTGAAGTATCCTAGTCCCCATTACTCATTGGGGTTCCAGGAGTTGAGACTCTTTGAGACAAGATAGGTTTCTTAAGGCACATGGTGCTCCCAGACTGTTGATTTGTGCCTAGTTAAGTGTCTGGACTATGGCCAGTTCTGCCTGTTTGGGCCTGTTCATGTGCCGTTACTTGTGGACCTGATCGTCCCAGTGATGCTTCCTTTCCCATTACTTATGTGTAGCCCCCTGGCCCACTCATCTCCCTCTCCTGTCTCACCTCACTGTTCTGTCATCCCTGTCCCTCTGGGGATGTGCTGCTCACCCCCCAAGTCCTATCTAGGCAGGTGCTTCTGTGGTTTTTAGCCACCCCATGCCCCTCCTAGTCATTCCTTTGTTTTCTGCTTACTGCCTTTCTACCCCGTGGCTGTGTGCCCAGCTCTGTGGTGGGCAATTCCCCTTGACATTGCCTCTGTGGCCATTTCTCTAGCCCTCTACCCTTTGCCCTACTTAAAATGTTTCCCCCTAAAAACATTATCTCATGTGGAGATGTTACTTTTCCCATGTTAGCTAAAATGGGCAATGAGGAAGTTGGGAGATGGGTTATGATGCCAGTCATGTGCCCTGGAAATGACATGGTTCACTCATCAAAATATACCTTCTCTCCGCTACCCCCAACCCCACCATTTTGGTGGTGATGATGTTCCAGGACTCACAAGGAATAAATGCTTGTAACTCTGAATATGGTACAAAAATGTATAAAATCAAAGTCACCTGAGGTGAACAAGAGTAATAAACTGTTTTCATTCTTCTCATTGCTCGTATGTATACACATATGTTGGGAGTGTGTTTATTTTTCCCAACATAGAGTTAAACTAAACTATATCCATGACTTTTTCATTTAAAATATGGAAATTTCTTTAAATCAGATATAGGATTTTTCCCCAAAAATTTTTAAAAATATTTTTACTTTTATTGATTTCAGAGAGGAAGGGAGAGGGAGAGAGAGAGATAGAAACATCAATGATGAGAGAGAATCATTGATCAACTGCCTCCTGCACGCCCTCTTCTGGGGATTGAGCCCAAAACCCAGGCATGTGCCCTTGACTGGAATTGAACCCGGGACCCTTTAGGCCGACGCTTTATCCACTGAGCCAAACCAGCTAGGGCGCCTAGTTTATTTATAGACATATTTAAAATAAATAAGGATTTCATAAATGATAGATTGTCTTTAGTGCCTTTTTCCCCCTTAACACTTACAAGATCACTTAGAAGTACTGATTTATCAGTACAACTTTGAGAAAATAGGCAGTATCTACTAAACCTGAACATAAAATATGGCCTGTGGCCCAGCATTGTGCACCTATGTTCCCACTGTGTACATGTGTA